GTGTTGAGCGACGACCACCAATCCCCATCTTGAATGCCCCAACAGCTAGGTGTAAAATGCCAAGCACACATAGTGTCTATGTGACAGGAAAGCTAGGTGGCCAAAGGTGCAACTTTGTCATAGACTCTGCGTCTCAGCAAACCCTTGTGAGCATCAAGGTTTTAAATCACGAAGGAGTACCAGAAGCCATACAGAAGCTTTATGGTGTGACAGGACATTCTACAAGATTGTGGGGACCAGTGTGGGTAACTATTGAGCTCATGGGCATGAAAAACAGACAGAAAGTATACTTGGCTGACATTGAAAACGAATGCATATTAGGATTGGACTATCTACTACCAAGGAAGTTTGTATATGATTTTGATAAAATGACGTTTGGGAACAACAAAGGCCAAGTTCCGGTAACTGTTAAAAGAGAGGTTGAACTAATTAGGTGCCATCAAGCTGAAGTCAAGCCTACTGAAAGAGTTGATGATGATGGTGAAGTGGAACCAAATATAGATATCAAAGCAGAACAGGAGAAAGACCAAGATTTGAAGCCTATAATTGATTTCCTAAAAGCAAGTGTTTTGTGCCCTGCTTGGGAGAAGGTGTCTAGTCTAAGCCCTGTGACAAAGAACTATTGGGCACAATGGGACCAGTTGAGGCTTGAAAATGGTATTCTTGTACGGAGATGGGAAACTACAGATGGGAAAGTGACGACTTGGCAAATAGTTATACCGAGGAAGTTACGGGAAGTTGTGCTGCATCAATCCCATGATAATTTAACAGGAGGACATCTCGGAATCAAGAAGACATTGAGTCACATACAACAAAGATTTTACTGGATAGGTATGAGGAAATATCTGGAAGAATGGTGCAGGACATGCAGTACATGTAGTGCAAAAAGGGGACCCAAGCATAAAGGAAGCCCACCTTATGAAGAGTTGCCTGAGAATGTGTCAGAGTTTGTGAAAGTGTTATCAGAAAGGATGGATGATGTTCACCATCAAGTGCATTCAAACTTGAAAATTGTACTGACTGGATTCGATGTAAG